AGGCAGGCAGGCAGATCACTTATGGGTTGGGGCTGAACTGAAGGCTACATCATGAGCTCATGTTATAAAAAATGAGTTACCAGGTTATGTTCCTGCTGTTGGACAAGGAGAGGATGACCCCGACAAATACGTTATTGTTTCAGGGTGAGAAAACCATTTACTTTTCTGTGCAAAACCCTGAATGTAATACATCTCAAGAAATATATATCTTAGTAATAATTAACCAGAACTATTTGAACTCTGGCTCAAGTCACCCTCCCTTGTTAAAGAAGGGCCAAGGTCATACAGCAATTTGGCTAGTTCCACAGGCAATAGGATTAATTAATGAATGGGCTACCCTGTTATATGAACACAGACGAAGTAAGAAAATTAATTCCCCCCCATTTTTGTTTCTTTGAGTCTGCTAACCAGTTTATGGCAATAGCCACATTGGTGGTCTAGTGTCCGTGTTTTTCACATAAATGAAGTCAGACACCATCATGTTATAACATCATAAGGAGTGCATGGTGAGGAATCACATAACTGTTCTTTTCCTAATAGAGGTTCATAAGGCAGATAGGAACATGGCATTAATTATGATGGTAGATTATGAAGCAAAGATTTAGCTGACAGAATACAATGGAAAGAGTGGATTTTTAGAATGTTGTACATGATAAAATTATATGTCTTGTCAACAATGGAAAAGGCAGAGCAGAAAAGGAATAAACTGAGAATAAAGCCAAGACAAAGATTGTGAGTTACTCAATTGAGTAAGTGGCAAAGTTATTGACATATACCTTAAGAGCAATCATGGAAAGAATTGATAGCTGTTGAAAGATTCAGATAGCACAGATAAGAAATCCTGAGCAAAGATAATTATGAGTCAAAGAAATAGATCATTTTTTTTCCTCAACCTGATCCCCTCTAGCTTTTCTGGATATTGCTCAAGGTTCTCCAGTCAATGGTTATGGTGACTGGATTGAAATCTGTCTTAGAGGCAATGGGGATAGAATGGAGCTGGCATTCAAATATAAAGAAGTGATTATTTAAAACACTGTTTTAGGGATGATCAGTTTTTAATATGCTCCATAAATTACCATATGCTACAGATGGCAGGCATACAACTTTCTCAGGGCCGAGGTCCATGCTTACACTACATTCCCTAAATTAAGGAATGGGGCCAAAACAAAAACTATGTTTTATAAGTATTATTTCATTTACATTTAAAAGTAATTAAATGCAGTTCTTCAGTCAAATTAAAAATGATGTAACAACGTTTGGAGGTATCTGGTGTTTGTTTCAGAGGTGGTATTCAGCAGGTTCTGACCGGTTCTAGAGAACCGGTAGCGGAAATTTTAAGTAGTTCAGAAAACCTGCAAATACCGCCTCTGACTGGCCCCACCCCCATCTATTCTCTGCCTCCTGAGTCCCAGCTGATCGGCTGGGTCTTCCTTGGTTGCCCTGCACAGGAGAACGGAGCTGGAAAGCAGGTTAGTGGGGTGGGGTGGGAATGGGGATTTTGCAGTAACCTTCCCCCAGGAATAGGGAGGGAATGGAGATTTTACAGTATCCTTCCCCTGGAGTGGGGTGGGAGATTTTATCCTTCCCCTGCCATGCCCATCAAGCCACACCTACCAAGCCACACCACACCACCAAGCCACACCCACAGAACTAGTAGTAAAAAAAAATTGAACCCTACTACTGGTTTGTTTATGCTGCAGCTTTAAATTTCAAGTTCTGCACATATGATTGAATGCCCTGGGCCTTTTGCTGTTTCCCCTTAAACAGTGAAATGTCTTGGGCTAAAACTGGATCTAAGATAAAGGAGGATACAGATTTCTGAAAACAAAAAGAGGGTATATGGAAAATATATGGGGGGGAAACAGGGGTGGGATTCTACAGGTTCGCACTTATTCGCTAGAACTGGTTGTTAACATTCTAAGCAGTTCGGAGAACCGGTTGTTAGAAGGAATTACTGGCCTAATCCTGTAAGGAAGGCAGGAAGGAAACATTCTGGGGTTGCTTACAGAAACTGCCTCTCTGTTAACTCTTATTACATTCTTGGCAGGACTAGACTTCCTGTCTCAGGAACGTCTCTGGAATTTTTTTTTTCCTCCTTTGCTGGTACTTTGCTTGTGTGGAGTGACCAATACGACTGTTGCAGCATCCCCACAGTGATGAGAGGCCAGGCGAGGAGATGCGTGCCTCGATGTGAGTGATGTTGAGTTGGCCGCGCCCAGCCAATAACACGACCACCAAGCCACACCCACCAACTGAGCCACGCCCACAGAACTGATTGTTAAAAAATTTGAATCCCACCCCTGGGGGGGAATCCTGTGAGAAGCACATTTTGTTGGAAAGTTATGGTATATGTGTGGAGTAGAAATGTAGATGTCAGGAAGAACAGCTAAGTGTAGCTAAGGAAGATTTATTTTAATGGATTTTAATCGTTGGCACTGATAAAACTAGGGATTTGGTCTGGATTTGGTCTGGATGCGGTCTAGTAGTCCGCAAGTCCTTACTGGTAGATTCCTCTACTTCTTTACTTTGTCACCCACACACTAGGAAAGCAAAGGCCATTATCTTTCCTTTGCATCGCTAGGCCTCTGAGGACATACAGTTTCTGTATGAGGAAATAATATGAAAGTGCAAAGTTGAAAAGGACTTTAGAGGTTTTGTAGTTTGTGTTCCTGCTCAGGGCAGAAGATGGCTTGCTCACAATGACCTTTCCTCAGCCATCTGACATAGCTGGAGGGCACCAAGTTGGGAAAGTTTCATTGGAACATACAGTAGTTATGCCTTCTCAGAGAGTTAATAAGATGCAGCGGTAAAGACATTAGAGTGGAATTGGAGATACCCAGGTTCAAATCTTACATCATTATGGTGCATGCTCATTGACAGCTCCATCTATCTCACAGACTGAGTCTTTTGAAAATAAAGTAAGGGGGAAATTCCTTATATACCATTTAAGCACATAGAAGAAAACTCATATAAAAATATACAGTGAAATAATTATTCAATGTGCAGTTATGATCAATTCAAAGAAACTTTGTGTATTGGCAGCTAAGCCACTGAGCAATAATTTCTAAACATCTAGCGAATCAGTGAGGAATATATATCACAAGGCCACAGTTATATTTAAGGATTATATAAACAAAAGCTTCTCTAATATACATTTTTAAAAGCACATATTACACTCACCTCTAATGGAAAGCAATCCAAATTATTATATGACAAGTTTAGGTACAACAAGAAATCAGACAAACGCAAGAGGTCAGGAAGCTGAGAGAGAAAATGTGCCTAAAGATTATCAAGCAAAAAAAAATCAAATTAATGTTTATTTTAAGAAGAATAGGGATTTGTCAGAGTTTAGACTTCAAGATTTGGATATATCTATATAGAGATGCATCAACAGAATCTGTTTCCTAAATTAGATGATGTAGTTTCAGGGAATTTGTTGATTACCAGTCCCAATGAAGTGTGTGTGTGTGTGTGTGTGTGTGTGTGTGTGTGTGTTTGAGTCGGTCTTGACTCCTGATGTTTATTTGGCAAGATTTTAGAAGTGTTTTGCCATTGTTTTCTTCCTAGGGCTGAAAGAGAGTGACTGGCTCAAGATCATCCAGCTGGTTTTGTGTCTAAGGTGGGACTGGAATTCATAATGTCCCCGTTTCTAGTCTGGTACCTTAACCACTGCATCAAACTGGCTTTGCACTGAAGCTAAATGTGTGGGAGATCTGGAATTATAATCACTTACCACTACACTTTTTGTTTAACAGCCCCTTGATACTACAATACTCTAAACAATGAAATGGTTATTGGAAAAAAAAATATATTTCCTCTCACTCCTAAAATTAATCAACCAAACACTACCGATAATAGGACTGTGAGTGCATGGGTGGGATTGAAATTTTTTAACAACCAGTTCTGTGGGCATGGCTTAGCTGGTGGGCATGGCTTGGTGGTCATGTGACTGGCTGGGTGTGGCCAACTCAATATCACTCACATCGAGGCACGCATCTCCTCCCCTGGCCTCTCATGACTGTGGGGATGCTGCAACAGTCGTAAGTGTGAAAAATAGCCATATGTCACTTTTTTCAGTGCCATTGTAACTTTGAATGGTCACTCCACACAAGCAAAGTACCAGCAAAGGAGAGGAAAAAAACTCCAGAGAAGTTCCTGAGACAGGAAATCTAGTCCTGCCAAGAATGTAATAAAGGTTAATGGAGAGGCAGTTTCTGTAAGCAACTCCAGAATGTTTCCTTCCTGCCTTCCTTACAGGATTAGGCCAGTAATTCCTTCTAACAACCGGTTCTCCGAACTGCTTAGAATGTTAACAACCGGTTCTAGCGAATAGGTGCGAACCGGTAGAATCCCACCCCTATGTGAGTGGCATGCATGTTTGAGAGAAAGAAAGTGATACAAATCTAATCTGCAAATTCATCTATTACTTATTACTTATTAAAAAACATTTTTTTCATCCCGCTGCCCTGCCCTGTAATGCTCATCTGGCTTTTTTGCAGCCCAGATACGCTGTCCCTACCATTTTGGTTTTTATCCTATATATAAACGAGCCCCTATGATTTGTTCAATAAATTGTGATTGGAAGTGGGAAAAAGAGGTTGCCTGCCATACACTCCCCTTCATGTGAATGCACTGAAGCATCCTGTGGTCCCATGACTCATTTGCAACATTTTTTGCCAGTTTCTGGTGATTTTTTTTTGCCACTTTCCAACAAAAAAAAATGTGTCTTAACAGTGTGTTGTTTTTTTTAACAACCACATGACTTACTTAACAACCACAGTGACTTGCTTTAGGACTATTGTAAAAATGGCCATGAAATCAAGTTAAGTCACATGGTGACCTGCTTCATGACTGCAACAATTTACAACCAAAATTGCAGGCTCAATTTTAAGTATTAAGTGAGGACTACCTGTAGAACATATATGTACTATAAGTCATCTCCCACAAAACTTGCCAGATGCTTGCTTGAGGCTTAGACCTTCTTCTGGACTAGATGGGCACTATTTTGGAATGATAGTAACCCGAGTAGAAAGCCACAACAAACCTTGGTTTTAAATTCTGGTTTCCACAAATCCAAATCCCAGTTAGGGACTGGAAAGTATACATTATATCTCAGGAAGCCTCCACGTGTGATTAACAAGCCAAGGATGACAAGAAGGTTTTCTGGAATGCTGACAGGAAGTAGATAATAGCATCTATGACTGTCAACTCTTTATAATGGATAGATGATTCCTCCCCCCATGCCATCAGTCTACTGAAGACGTAATTCCCACAGCACTACCTCATTTTTCATCTTTTCTCATCTTTCCAGCATCTTCTCCTATTGGTTTCTTACATTTATCAATTGTAGTTTGTAACTTATGATTATTGATTGTAACTATGGTTTATGACCTATGACCTATTACTTGCTATTTTTATGTATATTTATGCACTAAACTAGAGACAAATTCCTTGTATGTCTGAACACATTTGGCTAATAACGAATTCTATTCTATTCTATTCTATTCTATTCTATTCTATTCTATTCTATTCTATTCTATTCTATTCTATTCTATTCTATTCTACTCTACTCTACTCTACTCTATTCTGCTATGCTATGCTATGCTATGCTATGCTATGCTATGCTATGCTATGCTATGCTATGCTATGCTATGCTAAATAATAGACAAGACAGACAGACAGGCAGATAATCTTTACTGTGGCTTATTGTGTCATGTAAATGAAGCCATTGTGTCGTACATGATAGCGTTGGATTTTTAATGAGAGAGTCCAAAGTTCAATCCTTGCTTATCTATTAAGATCAGAAGGCAATTGTGTGCAGCCTAACTTTCCATGAAGATTTTTGAGACAATAAATGGAAAATTCATCAGAAAACATTAGTCTATGTCTTGTGAAAATGGACAGAAAGTGTGTGGTAAGATTATATTACATAAAAATTAATATATGGCCTTATGAAATGGCATGTTTATTTAATAGCCATATGCAGAATCTATTCTGTGTTTCGACAGAGTATTCTGAACTAGCAATTCTAGACATGATCTGGTGTTTTCTGGAAAAGAAAGTGATTGTGGCAATTTCAGTTATTACCAAATCCTAAAACTAGTGTAGAAAATACATTTACAAGACAGTATACTTGGCTGTTTGGGAACTATACCTTAAGATTAAGTCCAGTTTGTCTATGCATGATGCAAAACAGAACCGCCATTTCAGCCTTGTCTAGCAATTCATTGGCTTTATCTATTTCACTTAATTCAGTATTGTATCCAGCTCCGGAGACAAATGATTTAATGAAATCAATTTCTTCTTCTAATTCTGAAATAAAAATAACAGAGTATTAGGCAATATATATATATATAAAATATTAGGCAATATATGTATCACATGTTTTATATATATAAAAACAGGTGAGGAGAGAAAAGCCAGAACAAACACAGGCACCATTGTCTATGGAGATTCTCAGTCATTCAGGTCATGATTGTCCCAAAGATGCTTTTTCAAGAGGTAACTGTTTTTTCTTTGGAGGTGTTTCACTTCTCATCCAATAAGTTTCTTCAGCTTGAAGAAGCTTCTTGGATGAGAAGCAAAGCGTCTTCAAAGAAAAGCCAGAAAGTCTAGCTGCCTCTTGAAAAAACACATTTGGGACCCCAATTCTCATCTCACCCTGATCTCCCCTTATCCCAGCACATAGCAAAAGAGTCAGTCAAAAAGATAAAAGGGGAGGGGGTCTATCTATGTCAGGAGGGAGGGTATTTCATGGGGCAGGGACTTGTTAACTTAATCCTGCGTAACTTTTTCTCCGGTAATATTGTACTACTAACTAGAGCAGGGGTCTCCAACCTTGGCAACTTTAAGACTTGTGGACTTCAACTCCCAGAATTCCTCAACCAGCAAAGCTGGCTGGGGAATTCTGGGAATTGAAGTCCACAAATCTTAAAGTTACCAAGGTTGGAGACCGCTGAACTAGAGCATACAAAACATTTGCTAGACCAATTCTCGAATACAGCTCATCTGTCTGGAACCCGCATTGCATATCGGACTTTAACACAATTGAGAGAGTCCAGAGATATTTCACGAGAAGAATCCTCCACTCCTCTACTTGCAACAGAATACCTTATGCCACCAGACTTGAAATTTTAGGCTTAGACAACTTAGAACTACACCACTTTCGGTCCGACCTAAGTGTAGTACATAAAATTATCTATTGCAATGTCCTACCCATCAGTGACTACTTCAGTTTCAACCACAACAATATAAGAGCACACAATAGATACAAACTCAAGGTAAACTGCACCAAACTCGATTGCAGGAAATACGACTTTAGCAACAGAGTGATCAATGCCTGGCATACTCTACCTGACTCTGGTTTCTTTCCCAAACCCCAAAAACTTTAACCTTAGACTGTCTACTATTGGCCTCACCCCATTCCTAAGAGTAGTAAAGGGCGTGCATAAGCACACTAACGTGCCTACCGTCCCTGTCCTAATGTTTCCTTTTTATTCGTATCCATTTAATGTATTAATAATCATGTTTTATGGCAAAAGTAATGATAGATGGAGAATTTACAGATTCTATTAATATTAAAAAAAGGTACAAGACAAGGATGCCCATTATCTCCTTTGTTATTTATATTGACTTTGGAAGTGTTAAATAGAAATATTAGAGAGGATACAAACATAAAAGGAATGAAAGTTAAAAAGGAGGAATTTAAATTGCAAGCCTTTGCAGACGACTTGGTTTTTATTTTGGAAGATCCTCTAGAGACAGCTTTAAAACTATTGGAAAAGATAGAGATGTATGGTGAGATGGCTGGCTTGAAAATAAATAAAGACAAAACAAAGATTCTGACAAAGAACATGTTGTTAAGACAAAGAGAAGAGCTGGCAGAACTATTGAAAATTCAAGTTACGAACAAAGTTAAATATTTGGGGATATATTTGACGTCAAGATGTACTACACTGAAAGAGAATAACTATATTAAACTTAAACAGCAGATAGCATCTGATCTGAAAAAATGGGAAAACCTACAATTGTCATTGATAGGTAGAATTTCAACAATTAAGATGAATATTTTACCCAGAATTTTATATTTGTTCCAAACAATACCAATTAGGTTAGGTAAGGATTACTTTGAAGAACTAAATAAAATTGTGTTGAAGTATATATGGCAAGGTAAGAAAGCGAGAATAAAATTAAAACTCTTACAGGATGCTAGAATTAGAGGAGGATTTGGCCTTCCTAATTGGGAGTTGTATTATCAAGCTGCAAACTTAATGTGGGCTAAAGAATGGATAACGTTAAGAAAGGCTAGATTGTTGGCATTAGAAGGACATGATTTATTATTGGGTTGGCATGCTTTTTTATGGTATAAGGGAACTAAATCACAGGGTTACTTTAGAAGGCATTATATACGGGAATTGTTATGGTTGAATTGGGAGAAAATTAAGAAACAATGTTATTTGAAAATCCCAGTTTGGTTATCAACTATTGAAGCTTTTTCTTATCCTATAACTTATAAGAAGGAACAAACAGTTAGATATGGGGAATTACTAGATGAAAAGGGTGAACTTAAAATGATGCAAAATTTAGAAGAACAAGGCATAAAGATGAATTGGTTTTCATATGCGCAAATACATTCTGTTAAGTTTGGGGAATAATGGAGACCAGACATCTGACCAGTGACTTCAACTCTTGAATAATCGTAAATAGAACAGAACAGAGCAAGGCTATGGGCAACAGCAACCCTTTTATAGGGTTATCTGCTACCTTATTAACCAATGACATGTGCAACAAATTCAAACTTATAACCAATGAGAAGTGTCAAAATAGTGGCCAATCAGGGACTACTTATGGACCAATCCCTAGTTGTTGTATAAGGGCCAATCAGGTGTGCAGGTTTCCAAACCCTGATTTGCATTTATGCTAGTAACTTTTATTGATTCACAACACATTCAAGGTATCTTAAAGATTCTAAAATGGAAGGATTCTATGATAAATTGACTGATTTAGATAGGATTTTGACAGGTACTGATGAAAAAGTGATAAAAAAACTATATAATTATTTGTTGGAAATTAAATTAGAGGAAGAACAAGTTAAAGAAACAATGATTGCTTGGGGGAAGAATTTTGGATATGGGATTGATTTAGAGAAATGGCAAAAATTGTGGTCTCAAAATTACAAAATGACAATGTCAACAGCATATAAAGAAAATTTGTATAAGATGTTTTATAGGTGGCATTTCCCCCCGACAAGAATTGCAAGAATGTTCAAGAACAAATCTGAAAAATGCTGGAAATGTCATCAGATTCCTGGCTCATATTACCATATGTAGTGGACTTGTGAGGAGGCCAGGAAATATTGGACTAGAATTCGCATATGGTTGGAAAAAATGACAAAGAAACATATAGATTTGAAACCAGAGATTTTTTTATTGGGAATCTTACCTGATACATATAATAAAAACTTAAAATATTTTATTGTAAATGTATTAACAGCGACTAGGATTGTATTTGCTAAAAATTGGAAGAGTGAGAAAATACCATTAGAGGAAGAAATTATTAAGAAAATACTGGAATGTGCTGAAATGATTAGATTGACATTTGAAATTAGAGAACAAGAAGATAAACAATTTTATGAAGTTTGGGATCTTTTTTACCAATGGTTAGATAATACAATATAATAATAGAATATTTAGAAATCTAGGAAATAATGAATATATATATATATATATTTGGTTTTGATAACATCTTTAGAATGTTTTATTAAGATAGACTTGGTATGATTTTACGATCTGTTATAAAATAAATTAACTAAATTATAGTTATCTCGCTTAAGTATGAATTAGTAAAATTATAGTCAAATGATTGTTTAATAATGATATCAGGATATATAATTGTTGATTGATAATATGAGTTATTATGTAACATAATTATTATGATGACTATGAAATGGATGCACAAAAAGGAGTGGTAAACCAACCGATACACTGTTTGTAAATTTATGAAGAATGATGATGTTTTTATGTTATGTTTTTATGTTTTATGTGTTTTTTGTTTGTTGTTAAAATCAATAAAACTTTTATCAAAAAAAATAATAATAATCATGTTTATATTTATATCTCTTATCTAATACACGCTTGACAAAATAAATAAATAAACAAATAAACAAATAAATAAACAAACAATAAACAAACAAACAAATAAATAAATAAATAAAATAGACTGCAATGTATGTTTCTGAGAACCCACAAAATGGCAGTGCTTAAGGGAAGGGTTCTGGAGCATGCCTATCCTATGTTCTTTAATGGCATGGGCAGATACCCTCAAAGACAGGTGGTGCCACAGATAAATTGTTCCTCTGCCATGTAGGCATTAGGTATTAAAAAAGTAATGTCTTCTCTCCCAAATTAATTTTTCTGAAGTCACATTTGAAAGAAGTAATATCCATCTTGGGCTGTTCCAGCCTTACCCTCCCTTTGACATGACCACTCTAGAAATATTCTTACTTTGAAAGAGGCAAGTACTTTAAAACAAATGCTTTGCACTCAAACTAGGCTATTTCATACTTGAAATATTTCCAGAATAGTTGGAATAATTTTGGAATGTTTCTAGACAGGTGGGAACAGCTGTTTAGGAAATGAAAGGATACCCTTCCAACTCATAACCTTTGAAAATCAAAACTATACATTTTGCACCTCAGGGGTATGATGATTAGCCAACAGCACTGACAAGCTTCTCTTGACAGAAGATTAACATTTGATCGTGATTGGATATTTAATACGGCTTGTGATATTCACCTCAATTTGGAAGGTGCTCAGTCTGACCTAAAAGGAAAGGAAGCCTCTCTAAAGAGAGCCAAAGATGAATTTTTCCAGAATTTTGCAAGCTGGTTGAGAGCAAAGCTGAAGAGCAATGCCTAGCGCATTGTTCAGCTGTTCTGCAGTTGGCAGCGCCACACACAGCAGTGGCAATGGAGCCAGCAGACTGATTCTTAAACTTTTATCACACACTGCTGTCTATAATGCTGGGAAAGCTTAGAAAGAAACAGCAAGGAGGATGGAGTCAGTTACAAGGGCAACAGATGCATTGTTGGAAGACCTGAAGGACCAAATTAAGGACAAGAAGCCTTGGCAAAAATCTATCAACTGAATTGCTAAGTGTTGACATTGACTGACTTGATGGCACATAATAAATCATCAGCTCTTGCAAAACATAAGCTTCTGATATTGTTGGTGATGTATTCATGAAGCAACATCATCCTGGATTTGTAAACATTTTCTTGCTTACTGGACAAATTATTTGCCACTCCCTCGATGTCACATTTCGATCCAGTCCAGTCCAGAACTCATGATGATATAGCATTTATGGTTAAGAGAAGGCTACAGGCGTCTATAAACGGATGGCTTTATCAATATACCTCCCTTGCAACTCTCCCAGATAATCATACACTGTGGCTTCACAAGGCTTGCTAATAGACCACCATAGTGAATAGTGAATAGTTTTAGGCCTTTGCATTTGTAAATGACCTGATTAAGGGACATCCAACTGTTTATTCAAGCAGGAAAGGTTTAGCAATATCCATGATAGGGAGTAGACTATGAACCGTGTCCCTTGCTTTCTTCAGAAAAGCAGTGCAGGGAAAAGAGAATGAAATGGGGACTTTGTATTAAATTTGGAATGGGAGCAGATGAGAAAATGCATGCAGGGCTGAGAAGAAGGAGATGTGGCAACACAGACAACAGAAATGGGCCAGAAATAATTCTATTTATTTCCTCAACGGTGCTACCCACACTTCTCTTTTGGGACATCTTGGCAAACATTGCTTTATCATACAAATATATATATATTTATTATTTATTTATTTATTTATTTATTTTTGTCAATTGCTTACAAGATAATAGGTATAAGTAAAAACATAGTCATGAATACATGGATACATATAAGAAAAATAAAAAAGAAACAATAGGACAGGGACGGTAGGCACGTTGGTGCGCTTATGCACGCCCCCTACAGACCTCTTAGGAAAGGGGTGAGGTCAATAGTAGACAGTCTAAGGTTAAAGTTTTGGGGGTTTGGGGAAGAAATGTATGATATGAAAGAAAGGAGACTACACATTGTCCTGAATTCAATGTATTATTAATTCAAAGAAGAAATTTCCATTATGTGACAGGAGTCAGGACCTTGGTGTGATTTATTTATTTTTAGCATAATTGGTGAATGTAGCTGTGGTGGCTTGTAAATGATGTTTTATGATTTTGCAAGTTGTGAATCTAGACAATTATGGCTTATTCAATAAACCATGGTTACAATCAAGTAATTGCATAATCATCGTGCAATGTATAAATCAGCCAATGTGTTTTATGTTGAGTGGTATGAAAGAGAGGGTTTAATCATGGATCTACATTTGGCTGGGTTAGTACACTCTTTCAAGTCACTTCCACCACAGACTATACAAACAAATTATACCTTCATAGAGCATGTTCTATTTTCTCATACCCTTTTCCATATCCATCTGTTCTTTATCCTGAATGATCTTCTCTTTCTCTCGCATGATCTGTTCCTCATCCTGCACGATTTGTTCTTCATCCAAGATGCTCTTTGGACTTTTTTTCCTCCTTTGTCTTGTTTCTGAAAAACATTATCCATCTAACAATAGTTGGTTCATTCATAAAGAAGAGAAATCCTTGTAGCCATTTATCTGCCTTTGAATGTGTATCTGCCATTCATGGTAAAAACCCAAATAAGTGAGTACCGTATAAGGAATTTAAAAATAGGTTTTGCTACGCAAGATACATCCAGGGAATGTATTGCTGTGTGGTTTCCTCCTATATTTGGAACTGCTTGTACTTCAAATTATCAAGAAAAAAAACAAATATTTTATATTGGCATCTGAGAGATTACTGTTATGCTTAATTAGTGTTTGCTGTAGTCAATTTACATATGTTTTATTTATAACTCAACAAAAGTCATGCAGCTCAGGAAGGCTGGGATATATTTCATTTAATTTGTTCTTGAGTGTGTCATGTTTTCACCATTTTAGGAAGTAGCATATGTTTTTTTACAAGTGAGGATTTACAACAAAATGCTGCAGTTACATTCATGCCCCGTAATAGGAGTGCTTTTGTTTAAGTCCCAATTAGACTAGCGCAAGATTCCATATATACTCAGTTGAGAAAAGACAGAATTTCTCCTAATGTCTTCAACCTTTCATCTACCCACTTTGCCCTATGACAGCTCAGAGTTCACATAAGAATATTATTAGAATCCCAAACTCGAGTTCTATTGCTTTCCCACTCACAGAAACTCCTTGGTTGACTTTGAATCAGTCATTCAACCAAGCCTAGTTCACATGTTTGCTTCTGAAGGGATAAAATGAAGAGAGACCCCCACAGACACACTCCTTCCCTTTCTTCTCTAAAACAAACCCAAACTTAGGAAATGGAAGGACTCAATACCTGGAATTTCCAGTTTTCTATCAGACTCGCTCAGTTTTAAGTATATGGTGGCAACTTTCTCTGGACTTTTCATCTCTTTAGCAATCAGCTGGGTACTGAAGACTTCACAATTATAATGAGAAATGAATGGCTTTTTAGGGACAGATTTTTGGACTACAGAACGGAGAGGAGAGGTTACCATAGTCACACCGCTCACCATAAATTCTGGTGGTAAATGAAATGGGTACAGCGTAGGATGCTGTAACCGCATAGGGGCACGGCGGTTTTTCATTGGGAAGCTAGGGGGACCAGTCAAATAGACAGGGATAACGAAATTTCTCTTAACAGGGCCTGGAAGCTGGACACCAAAATCATCATCTGGAAAGCACAAAGAAATTGGTTGGCTCTTTTCTGGATGGCTGTCAACATCTCCAAGCACTTTTTCAGGTTCTTTCTCTTTTTCACGAACACCTGCTTTGTAGAAACAAAGATTTTTATTTATTTATTTGATTTGATTTGTCAATTGCTTACAAGGTAATAGGTATAAGTAAAAACATAGTTATGAATACATGGATACATATAAGAAAATATATATATAAAAGAAACAATAGGACAGGAACGGTAGGCACGTTGGTGCGCTTATGCACGCCCCCTACAGACCTCTTAGGAAAGGGGTGAGGTCAATAGTAGAAAGTCTAAGGTTAAAGTTTTTGGGGCTTGGGGAAGAAGATAGATGCCAAAAATAAAAGAATACAATATCAGAATTAGAGCAAAATTGCTGGCTCCAGTCATTATATTCACATGTACGTATTCTCACACCAGCATCCAGCAAAAGATTATAAAGAACAGCCCATTGGCAATTGTTCCTGAAGCAGAAGTAATGGAGCAGTACAGGAAGTCCTTGACTTATAACCATTTGTTTAGTGACTCTTCAAAGATACAACAGCAGTGAAAAAAGTGACTTATGACCATTTTTCACAGGACCATTGCAGCATCCCCATAGGCACATGATCAAAATTCAGAAGCTTAGCAAGTGGTTCATATTTATGATGGTTGAGTGTCTCGGGGTCACGTTATCATGTTATCACCTTTTGTGGCCTTCTGACAAGCAAAGTCAATGGGAAAGCCAAATTCACTTAACAACCGTGTTACTAACTTAACAACTGCAGTGATTCAATGAACAACTGTTTACAGCTTGTATTTATCACTTTGAGAATTGCATCCCGCTGCATCCCAAAAATATCTGCTCCGATACTCTGATGTGGGTTGAAACATTCCTGAAACCAGGATGGTGTTGAATCAGTACACTGTAACAGAGATGGTATTCAGCAGGTTCTGACCAGTTCTGGAGAACCAGTAGCAGAGATTTTGAGTAGTTCAGAGAACCGGCAAATCCCACCTCTGACTGGCCCCGCCCCCATCTATTCGCTGCCTCCTGAGTCCCAGCTGATCGGCTGGGTCTTCTTTTGTTGCCCTGCACAGGAGAACGGAGCTGGAAAGCAGGTTAGTGGGGTGGGGAGGGAATGGGGATTTTGCAGTATCCTTCCCCTGCCACACCCACCAAGCCATGCCCACCAAGCTACGCCACACACACCAAGTCACACTCACAGAACCGGTAGTAAAAAAATTTGAATCCTACCACTGCACTGTAAATACCTCCCCACCTTATGTTGGCTTGCATGGTAGATGCTAGATTAGAGGTTTTAGCCTGAAGGGAATAATGTGAAGAGGTTGAGAGTAAAAGTGGGCTTTGTTGAACTTCTGGCATGTTAAAAAAAAAACCAGTACCAACTTTGTTATGAGAAGGAAGTGCTTTTCCTTTCTAAAAGTGTGATTATCTAAGGACTCCCGGGGTCCCCAAGGCTCTCTCAGAGATCCACAAAATCAAAATTATTTGCCCGATGTTGAAGACATTTGCAAAAATGTAAGACAGTGTCATTCTTGTCATTATGTTTTACCTGTTAAAATAGATTATTTCATGAACAGTATTTTATTTATCTTGATTATATAATGGATTTAATATTGTTATTTTTACATAATTCAATAAATAAATATTCTACAAATGTGTCAATTTCAATTTTTAATCTGGTAAATATTGATAAATTTATTTATTTGTTTATTTCTTAACTATATTTGCCACCCATCGCACCATGGGGCTATTAAAATGATAAAAATATAAACATGTCAATATTAACAATAATAAAACAATGAAATAATAAAAATACCAGTAAAAGTACAACAATATGATTAAAAGATGGGTGTAGATAAATATAACCCATTCAAGCAAAAATACTTTGAGGGTCCTCCACAATTTTTAAAAGAGGGAAAGTATAATGAGAGCAAAAAAAAATATTAAGAAACACTGCTCTACATTTATTTTACATGCTTTATAAGGTTTTTTTTTGTAAAGGGCCAAGTCCCACCTTCTTCTATCTCCACAGGTACTGCTGGCAGATCTGTGTATAAACCAATATTTTTGCTCTTTAGCAGGTATTTGATATAGAAAAGAAAAAACTATTGCAGGTTTATTGATATAGAGAAAACTTCTAATACAATTATTTATGAAATTCTTTTTATGAAACTTATTTGTCACCCATGTCGTATCCAATGATTTTTATTATGGCACTCAATAAATCAAATCAATCAATAATTTTTTTAAGGAAACAACTGAGTCATAAATCATCATCTATTTATCATTACATAGCACAGGACCAGCCACAGCCAACCCTATGTGTCCACATCTGAGTTATACATCAGCTTTGCAACATAATAAAGAGTTATGCTATATGTAGGTAAACTTGAACAAGAAGACCTTACCTTTCGTCAATTTCTTCTTTGGAATATATTGTTCAGGTTCCAACTTTGGAGACAAAGGTCTCCGGAGCAACTGAAGCTGAGACATGGTTTTATGTTTGTTAAACCTGTGGTAAGTCAAGAGGTAATATAGGGAGAATGAAAATTTAAAAAATAAATCAAAATAATTAACCACCTGAAAGAACATTAAAGGAAGCACTAAGGAGATAGAGAATTATATTATAAACAAATAGAACTTCCAATTTTAAAAATAATTTTGTTAAACAAATTGCTTGGGAAAAAATATTTTTCCTTGGTTCTTTATCAAAAAAACATTAGACAACAAATGAAACTAAGAAGGATATGTTGAGTTGGGAGAAAATTCAGTTATCATTACTGGGGAGAATTTATGTAATAAAAATGAATGTATTGCCTAGAATGATGTTTTGTTTCAAACAATATTTTGACAATTATTCAACCAATGGATGGATGGATGGATGGATGGATGGATGGATATATATATATATATATATATATATATCTTAAGTTTAAAATTAAGTTTAAAATTAATATCTTAAGTTTTTGTGGGTACTTACATGTATAGTATTCAGCTTTGTTCGGGTATTTTCCCACGTCATTATAGTTGTGCTTTTAAAGTTGTAGCAACGTTTCGGCAGAATCTCATCTGCCATCATCAGGCTTCTGTATTGTGTTCGTCTGCAGAACGTATTCTGTATTGTGTTCATCTGCAGATCTGCTTCGTCTACAGAAGCCTGATGATGGCAGATGAGATTCTCCCGAAATCTTGCTACAACTTTAAAAGCACAAGTATAATGACGTGGGAAAATACCCGAACAAAGCTGAATACCACACACAATATATATATATGCTTAATATATATATATGCTATATATATATATATATATATGGCCTGAGGTCAGACTGTGCCTGAAAATGCCTTTGTGAATCTCAGCATAAGAAGTATTTCATAGAAAAGGAACAGCAGGCAAAGAGAAACAGTTAACATACCAATAATAGAACAAGACACAGTTGGAACAACAATTGAACCCAGAACTTTTCTTGCTGGGACTAATGGATAATTAGAAAAAAGGATATATATTTTTTGGTATATGATAAGTGTAGTGAGACTCCTGTATTCACAAAAATGGAAAAATTCTGAAATACCTACAATGGAAGAATGGTTGGTGAAGATGATAGAATTAAGCAGCAGAGATGGCAAAATTGACTTGTTGTGAGTAGAGGCAAATAGTATGTGTGCATATGAAGGAATCTTTCAGTAACTTCACTCCTCTTGTTTTGAACCTCTGCATGTATTTCCCAGTTATAATTGTCCAACCCATTTGATCTACTTTTCTAGTCATGCTATAGAAGTAAACCAAGGTCATGCAGCAGAAGTACCACAAGCTTCCTGATATCACCCAAGTGTACAAATCATTGAAATAAATAAACGAAGCAGCTATTTTAAAAGGCAGCGGAGAATGTGTTTACTGTATGTTTTGAAGGAGGTCTTGGAACAGTTCGGCTTCTCATTTGCGTGGATGGGTTCCACTAGGCAGTCCTAGAATAAGTCAATGGGAAGCTGTTAGATCTTTCAGGGGAGGGGGAGGCACCCATGCTTCCATTGCTGAATTTCTGTCTTTGGGGAAGGAGAAAGAGACAGATTTTCAAGTCTGGTTTGTTTGATCTGGACACCCTTCCCAACCATTGCTTACATAGGTTCTCCTCTGCATTCACTCAGGACATTTGAATCCATTCTTTTTCCACATTTGAGCTCTGACAAACCTAGACATAAAGTAACTCTTGGTTTTCTCTACTTAAAAACATGGAATCTAGACACACTTTTTTGTGTGCTTGCAAACCAGTTTTTGATTCTTGGCAAGTCTGGTAATTTTCTTGGCAAGGCTTTTCAGAAGCCATTGCCATTACCTAGGCTAAGAGAGAATAACTGGCTTTGTGCCTAAGGCAGGACTAGAACTCACGACCTTTCCAGTCTTTATTTATTTGATAGTTATCTTGCTACAAACAGACTATTGATACCTTACAAATATTATAGAAACTTCATATCCGTTTTCCTCATTTTTTCTTCGACACTAATATTTATAGCATTCATTTCAATTCCAATCCTTGAAATATCACTATGCACATTTCCAAAACATTTCTTTGAACTTTTCCTCACTTTACTTTCATTCCAAATACTTAGATTACTTTTACTTTGGCTTATTGTTCCCAGAGTTCCTGCTTTAACTCTTTTACCACTTTGGAAAGAAACTCATAACTCCTAGAGCTACTACGTTCTACAGAAAAAAGCACTAGTAAGTCTCATTCTAGATTGCGTATATTTTATATAATTTGGTCCAAGTTCTAATTGTCAGGGATTTGCAACTATTGCTACAGTTGTTTGCATTAACTGAAGACCATTAGATTTTATAAAGGTGTAAGTCAGTGAACCTAGTATGATACACATGTCAAAGGTGACACGCTACAACATTTTGGGTGACACAGTAGCGTTTACCAATACTGAAAAAACAAACAAACTATTCTTGACACCATGCTCTATTCTCATACAAATTTTGGATGCTGCAGAGATTGCATTTGAATATGGTGTGCTTTTTCCTGGCCTCTAGGTTTCACACGAGAACGGGCCATGTTATTACACCGTTTTCAGAGGCTGCGGGGGAGCATTCTCCAAAGCTGTTTTAAAAACAAAGGCTTTGTGCAGCTTTCAGTCTGCTACAGGGGCCTGTCAACAGAGAAAACACTGCCTGAAGGTAAGAGACACATGGCATATCCTGAGAAGTATTGGACTTCGGAGGGCAATTGTGCCGTTCCTCAGGGCTTGCGCACTTTGGCAGAAATGGCCTGAGAGGCAGCCATTTTGAGTGGCAGTGGGGTCACACACTAGGGCTGGAACTGAAGGCGGCCCAGGTTTCTACTTCAGGCCCAGCCTCGGCACTGCGACTGAGTGCTACTGTTCAGGGTAGCCTAGATAGGGGAAGAGAGAAAATTATTCCCATTTTGTATTTAATTCAGGGGTGGGTGGGGTGTGTGACACACCAGCAGAGTCAAATTAGGCAATTTCCAAATTTTTGACATGCCGAGGCCAAAAGCTTTGCCATCACTCACTTAAGTGCAAGAAAGTGATCAGAAAGGCAGAACAGGAATTTAGCCTCTGAATGAGCAGGAAATCTCCAAGTGCCAAAGAGCAGGCTGGTCCCATATTCAAAGTAATTTATATTACTATCAAAAAAGAGCAGGGGGAGCTTTTACCTAAAATTAGGTGGCCCTCAACAACTGTATCTACACACAAATAGGCACATGCATCAGAAAGTTTCATACAGGCCCTGAAAGTTGATTCAGATCTATGTCACGTTTTATATTAGTACTCCACTCAGCCCTGAAATTTCCTGCCTGAGATAATCTGATTTAAACAAAGCTTCCTGAAGATGATTTTGTCCCATTTCTATAGAAGAAACACTAAGATGTAACTTTCAAACTGAGGATATAAATGCCCCATGTCATCTCCCAGCTGTCTATTCAGAATTCCGATATAGATCAGAAGCACCTGTTAAGAAGGATCAAAATATTTATTTCAGTGGTGTTCGGGTTGCATCTTAAACAGTTTTCTTTCGTGGGTGGTGGATCACATAAGCACAAAAGGCTTTTGCAAGGCTGATTTCCGAAATTAGTTGTGGAGTAGAAAGTGTTTTTCAGTCCCATGTGATCTAACCCTTTTAGCTCTTCTCAGGAAATGGAGAAACTAATCGTGTGCCATGTTGTCTAGTGAATTCTTACCTTCCAGTTGTAAGCTGAGAGAGCCATGCTCTGCTGGACTTAAACACTGGCAAGGTGTACCTAACATTCTGGGAGACAAAGGAACAATATGATGGAAGGATCTTTGTGATTGGCTAAGGGAATAAATGACCATTCCATTCTACAAAGAATCAGAAGGGAAGAATCCATATAATCAGTAAGGGAACTGATTCACACACTCTAGATCTCTTGCAGCCCAGAGATTGAGGATTGTGGGCCATCCAAGCACTTAAGAGGAGATGTCTATGGAGATTTTCAGTCATACAGGTTGTGGTTGTCCTAAATGTGTTTTTTCAAAAGGCAACTGAACTTCCTTTGTTTTTTTTCTTTGAAGATCTTTTCTTTCTCATCCAAGAAGCTTCTGCAGTTCTGATTGAGTGGTGGGAAGTCTTACTGAATTCCCCGCCATTCAGTCAAAACTGAACAAGCTTCTTGGATGAGAAACAAAACATCTTTAAAGAAAAAAACAAAGAAAGTCCAGTTGTCTTTTGAAAAAAAAAACACCTTTGGGTTAAGTGGGTTAAACTCAGAGGTGGTATTTAGCAAGTTCTGACCAGTTCTGGACAATTGGTAGCAGAAATTTTGAGTAGTTTGGAGGACCGGCAAATACCCTCTCTGATTGGAGATTTAACAAAATCCTTCCCCTGCCAGGCCCACAGAACTGGTAGTAAAAAAAATTTGAATCCCACCACTGGTTAAACTATAGCATAAATAGAAAAAATGAAATAAATGTAGGATTCCAGCTGCTCTTTAAAGCTATTCAGTGGTTAATCTAGGACATGTAGCGGGTTAGATTATAAATGTAAAACGTCTCCAAATCTGCTCCATTTGTGAGAATTATATGGATTCAAGAACTGTAGTTTATAAGCTGTTGTTTATGGCTTTGCATGTTAGAAAAACCTAGCTAAATGGGTTCTTATTTTCCTCATAAATTGTGGTTAAAGAAACCATGACCAATGATTTGTGAATCCAGTTTATAAGTGGGGCTCTTCCACATGTTCTGCAAGCTAACAATGCTTTAACAGTTTCACTGAAGTGCCTTCAATGGACAGTGTCACCCTCAGCTTATCCTTTTGTGGTTTAAGGGCAGCTACAATCATGCTTTCCTACTCTGCTTCAAAACTAGTGTGTTACAACTTGTACCAGTATGAAATCAGCTTTGTGGATTCCACAGTTTAATTTTACCTAAGCCACATTTGCATTCCCCTTGGATACCATATGGAGCTGCTGGCATGCCCTCTAGTCACTGGTTGCTGCCACCTATGGCCATTTTGGAGG